CCTTTATTTTCCAAAAAATTAAATTTGTTTAATTTTCATTACTTAAAAGATAGATTAAATGAATGTTTTATGCCATAAAAAATTTCAATAAACAACAAAGAATTTCTGGGCAAAAAAAATCATAAGGCTATTGTAATCATTTAATCATTCATTCATAAATTACATGTGATTTTGTTTAGTTGTCTAATGTTTTTTTTATTCAGAGTCATGAGAGAACCACAACTTCCATTGGGGGATAAAAAACTAAATTTATCCTGAATCATGCAGTTCTATTTTGCACACAAACAGCTCTTAAGAGTTTTTATGTAGCCTGTTGATTTTTGTTCATGGTATTCAGCTCCAATAAATGGTTTGCAAAAAAGAGACACAGGATAAATGTTTGATATCATTATTTAATCACATTGGAATCGAAAAGAATCGGAATCGGAATCAGGTTTGATCAAATTCAAACGATACCCAACCCTAGTTTTATATTGTTCTTAGTAGAATTTGTATTATTATTATTATTATTACTACTACTACTACTACTACTACTACTACTACTATCTTATCAGTATTATTGTTAGTTTTTTCCCATTTTTTACAGAAACACCGAATGTCCAAAAAAGCCAGTCCTAAGTTCATTTAAAATGACTAATATGCATTCATACATGGTTACCAGTTTTAATTGTAATTACTAATACTTGATTATCATAATATATTATAATGCTTGACTGACTGATGTTAAGAGTGTACTTTCAGATATTTAAAAAGCTGTGCCATTTTACAAACAAGGTGTCCGTAGAGGGTTGACTATTAGTATTATTATTATTTTAGGAGGTATTCTTATCTACAAAATTCTCACATAGAAATCCTGGAAATATCAGGTAATTTTAAAAATTATTGGAAACATCATAGAAATTAATTCTTAATTTCTTGCATGGAAAATATTATTATTATTATTACTATAATGTTTTTCATGCTTGAATACATTTTATTTTATTTACAGGCAATAATAATAATAGTATTTTTATATATTTGTATAATAAATGAATAATTTAAGATTTAATTGTAATTTTCGTAACTTTTCTTGTCTTTTTAAAAAAATTCCCTCATATTTCCAGTTATTATTATCATCATTATCATCATCATCATTATTATGTTTTTCATGCTTGAATAAATTTTATTTTTTATGTAGTAGTAGTAGACGAATATAATATAAAAATGAAATAATAATAATAATAATAATGTTTTAATGTATTATATTGGTTTAAAATCTTATTAGAAACATTTGTATATTGAAAGATAAAATGGTTAATTAAATTTTAAGGTTAATTAAAATGCATATTAATGGATATTCTGCCTGGCAATCCTTAAAAAAAAAAAAAAAAAAGATTTATTTCCAGTAATCATGAGGGAACTGAGAAGTCATGTACATTCATTGGTCAAAATGTGTGGGAACCCTGTATCTAGCTTCCTGGCTTGTCAGGAAGTTTCTCTACATTAGGCACATTGTGGTGCAGAACTGTTGGAAATGGCAGTGGCAATAAAATCTAATTAGTCTGCAGATATCGTGTAGGCTGAGACTTTCTCTCTATTTCACTTTAGAGAAATTGAGATTAACTGAGATTAGATGTGCCGTACATTGAGAGCACGCCTGCCTCCACCACACCCCTCACGAGGCATGCAGAAGAACACAGAAATAAATGTGGCGCTGGAGTTCTAGCCCTGTTGCTAAGAGTAGGACGCCTTCAATCATCTCTCGGTATGGTGTGGGAATGCAATCAGTGGCATAGCAGTACCCAGTCACCTGAGATGTACTAAATAAAGTGACAGCCTTTGAATCACCGCTCTTCTTACATGTAGTGTCATAAAGACACACACCGTGCAATGTGCACTTTACAACAAGGTTGTATTTTTAGACCGTCAATAACACTTAATGTTCTCACGTTACTGTTATCACTAATTATGAAGACTTTGCTTTGACTGCGAGGCTGTGATTGTAGATAAGTGTTGAGTAACCCTGGTGTTTTATTTGCAATGTTTCGTCTCCGACTCCCAATTCAATTAAAAAACGAATGCAGGCTTACCATGTAAATGTAGCTTATTTAGACAGATCGACCGATGAATGTCTTTGCCACCCGTACAATGCATAAATAAACAGCTCAACCACTGGCATTTTGGCAATCGTGTGACTAAATAATATTACCGCACTAGCTTTGTGGGCTGACTCAGTCCTTTATTTAGCCTGTTGTTGACAATATGCGTTTTAAGTAGCCCTGCCTGCTCTGTCCGAGGAATTTAATCTATGGCATATGTGATCCACAGAGAGAGATTGAAGACACGTTTCGGTTTCTGAGGCTTTGAGGCCATTTCCATGTGCCCCCAATAAAACTTGCTTCAGAGCTCTGGAAACGCTCATTGAAATGGGCCGACCTTTGACCCTGCCCCTCTATCTACCCTATATCTATCTCTCTCTAAACATTGCGTCGAAGAACTGACCGCTCCGGGCGCACACAAGTCAATCCATAATGGTTGATGTGACCTGATTTGAATTGCATTGATGGTAAGAACTAATCCATTACACCTAAGACACTCCCTCTGTTGTTCATAAACTGAACTTGTCAATATCTGTGCGCAGAGGAGACGGTCTGTTCATACTGCAAATTTGATTGCCAAGAATGAAGAGTTTTCTATACACTTGTTGTAATCTGTTTATTTGGAAATTAGTTCTAACCCTCTGCTTTCTGGTCATCTTCAGTTGCAGTAATTTGTTGTGAAATCTTAAAAGGTGCTTCAGCAGCCATGTGCCCCCGTAGCTTGGCCATAAATCCAATATAACGGCTGCTTGACCTTTCTCCAGCAAAGCCTCTCTGAACGTGTTGCAATTTTGCCAGAGGGATGGGAGAAGCGCACATTCCAGCCTCATTTCGCTTCATTCATTTGCAGCAGAAGCCGCTCTCGCTTCTCGTTTCAGCAGCTAGCATTTCGCGCGAACACCTCGTTTACGCCGCACTCTTTGATTTAGTGGTTACTCATCTCTTCAGGGTGTTCTTATGAGTCATTCCAGCACCACCTAACCTCTCGCCAAAGTGCCAAGCCTGCATGACGCAGCCACTGGTGTTCTGAGTAATAGCGTGCTTTAAGACGCGGCCGTCCAAAAACAAACATTTCATTTGCCTGTCCTCATGCAGAGTCGCTCTCGGATCTGTGTGCACCGGGGGCCAGGGCGGTACAGGCCTGCCAGTTCACTCCATAAAAGCAGCAACAGGCTTCGTATGCGCCTCGGGTCCTGCTGGTTTTAAATGCGAGCGTGCCCCACCCACAATACATTGCAAGTCTCACAATGGAGGTTCTGAGTGAAGGATGTGATTCACCCCTTTTGAATGTATCTTCTACAACCAGGAATGATGAATGCACATGCATGACCCTATATATCTACAGAGGATTATGCTCTAAACATTTCATCCTCCCCTTTGAATGTCGAGCATTTCTATCTTTAGAGGGCTGTTTGTTCTTAGCCCTGACAACCCTTTTGTCTTTCATTAAAGCTGATTTTTTTTAAAGGAGGGATAATGTTATGTGCCAGCACTATTTTTGTGTGCCTTTGTGCTTTTGTTTATGGCTGTTTGTAGTGTTTGAGGTTATGAATGTGCATTTGTGCGTCTTTGCCCTTGGTGAAATCTTAGATGAAATTCATGACTTTGCATGTGTGAATGGCCGCTCCCCGGTTACCAGATGTCAGGTTTGAGAAATATTTCTCTCCCTTTGCTTTGGGTGGTAATAAGTCAATTTTATGATTGGGCTGAGGTGAGCTGCTGCTCCGGCTATGAAGCAGATTCATAAACTGATAAGATAATAAATCGTCAAATCTGTGTATTTGTAAGTGTGCATAATTTGGCTATGAATAATGACACTGAAAGATTTTTGCTCAGCTGGAAAAAAGTTTTGTCGACCGATGTACAGTCAATGACTCAAGTGTCACTGTCATAAACTATTTTCAAAGGTTATTGTACTAACGTCCATTGTGCCTGATGATAGGTAGATGCGGATGCTGCATTAAATACAGGAGGTAGTACTGACAGTTTGGGCCACTCCCTTAGTCTCTCGAATAACAGGACTTAACATGTCTGTACTCGCTCTCTTTTACAGGTTTTCCTCACTTGCCAAGCAGTTTGTACCCCAGCCCTTACATTCCCTTGGGCCACCTTGAGCATCCACAGCTCAGCCAACATGCACTCTTTGACTCACAAAAAGGTCTGTATATGTCTGTGAAATAACATGTTTAACCATTATCACTGTGATTTATGCGTGTATATGACTATCATATAGTGGTTCAACGGATCACAAATCTCACGGTCCTACAACATGCCCTAGATATTGTTTGAAAGTGTTCACATTACGATCACATTACGGTTTTTGACCCACGGATCGGATAATTTTTCGGAAAAGAAAAATATTTCAAATAGCAAATACACAAATCTGAATGGCTGTTTAAATCATTTAAACACGATTCAGAAACAGAAAGTAGAGCAGCTGCTTTATTTACAGGGTTTCCGGGGTAAAGGCTGCATTTATATGAATTATTATTATTATTATTATAATTATTATTTCTGCAGTTTAGCGCCATCTGCTGTCAGAGAGTGGAAGTGCCGTCCAGAGCGTGATTGTCAAGATGGGTATTTTGTCATAATTTTATGTGTATGTGTCAGTTCACAGGATTCAGAAGAGGATTCAGTTCGGTGTTTGCGCACTGTCTGAAACGCGTGTGTGCGCTTCATGTGTGTGCAGCTGTGCGCGTAGAGAATAGCGCGCGAGTAACGAATCGAGTTCCCTTTCGCCTTTTCTCTCTGGAATTGTTTAAAATTCGCTTGCCTGTGTAAATACGAACAAATGATAAACTTATACTCTATTATGGTAAAATTTTGCAATTAATCCGCGGATCACATGCGTGCCGAACCGTGGGGCTTGGTCCGTACGGATCACAGATCAACTACGATCCGTTTAACCACTACTATCATAACATTTAGGCCTGTATGTTTATATAAAGTTATCTATCAGGGTGAATCTCTCTAAACTGTGAAGAATTATCCAGGTCATTGTTCACCCCAAATTCAAGAGGCAAAAAAAGAAAATGAAGCCTGTTTTATGACTATACCTACAGCAATGCAAAATAATAAGAATAGTAATAATAGTAATAATAATTGTTTAATATCAAAATTGCTAAGTATTAAGTATTTTTGGTAGTTTTTCTTGTACTAAATTTATGTATGAATTCAATGTTCTTATTTTACTTATTTCATCATGCATCTTTATTTGTTTTTGTCAAAGATTTTTTTTTCATATTTTGATTTTGGGATTTCTTAATGAAAGTACCAGTAGTATATATATATGGCTTTCTGCAATATGTTATCAGATGGAAATTAGACTTTAGAACTAAAGTGTGTATGGATGAGTGGTTTGCTAGCTATTATGTTAGATGGACTTCTTTAGAGCTATGAACTAGGCCTATATAGACTATTTTAAACCATGTCATTTTTGCAATGGCTTTATGTTCATAACCCTGTGTACTTTACCTGTGTCACAGTAAAATGTTACCATTTAAAACTTTAGACTCAACAGATAGCACTTTGTTTTTGTTAGCATTCACTAACTAGCGCTTGAACTTTTACATGTCCTTTGCTTTATACTCTGCTGTACTTGCAGATGGTGTCTCATTTAGAGTGTTTTAACAGTTTAATAATATATGGTCTATCTTTTTATATGCTTTCTGCACTTTAGGGCCTTTGAGCAATCTTATCTGTTACACCAGATGTCTTAAGGTCTGTCAGGCTCACTCTTTCTATTTTGTTCTCATTTTCTCAGAGGGGTTTTACCTGCCAGTTTCAGCGCACTCCCAGTCTGCAATGGCCAGGAGCCCAGTGGTTCACATGCCCGGCTCCTTCTCCAGGGAAAAGGAGGCCCTGCCTCCTCACAAAAGCTCTAAAGACTCAAGTAGGGATCTGAGAAAAGAGAAGCCCTGTAAGAGTGACCTCGGCCACTCCCTCCCAAGGAAGGAACGAGAAAGGCCAAAAGAGGAGTCACGGCCCCACAGTGTGGTGGACCTCACCTTGGATGTCAAGGCGGAAGACGAGCGTAGAGTGAGCAATTCGGAGAGGTCTGCGAAAACTGCGGAGCACGCTCGGCCTTTCTCTCACCAGCACTTGCCTGCTCTGAGCACCACGGACACTAAACCCAAACAGTCTCACCAGAGTTTACTTGGCAACTGCGGGACAAGCAGCAGCACACCAACCCGACACCTGAGTACAGAACAGGACAGGAGGGACAGTGACCGGGATGACGAAACCAGCCGACAGTTGGGCCACCTTTCCTCCGACAAGCAGAAAAGAATTGATTCGGTTGCTACATCAGCTGGCACTCTGCATGTGTCGTATGCCAGTCCCTCCTCCCTGCAGCCCAACCCAACCCATCTCCCACCCAGGCTGGTTTCCTCTGGCACCTACCCTCCCCCTCACCACATGCCGCCCAGCATGTACCCGCTCTACTCTACAGCAAAAGAGCCAGGCAAAGAACACAGAGTGATAGCTCCTACTTATGTGCCTTCTGTCGAGGTTTACGACGAGCGAAAAGGGCCAATTCAAATTGCCTCCCAAGCTCGAGATAATAAAAATGACAAGAGCAGGGAGAGGGACACGCACAGATCAGCCCTGCAGGTGGGGAATGAGAGAACGCATATGGACCACGGTCGGTCCTCCGTTAGGAGCGAGTCTCCCCCTCACGGAGACGTTAAGAAAGACATTTTACGAGAGGAAGGCTCGATAATTAGGTCAAATGGTTTGGCCATGAAAAAGCCCTTGCATTTGGAAATGTGCACAAATAAATCTGGAAACAGCCCAGATGCCAGGGACTTATCCAACACTACATCAAAACACACAATCAAAACGGGACTCGAGACCGAATCCCGCAGCCAAGAGCGGGATAGGGTTCAAAGGTCTGCCCATCCGTTTTCTAGAATGGATTCAGCTACGCTCCATTCGGAACCGCATCCGTTGAAGGCCTTGGGTTCTGCCGAACCCAAATGGAAGCCTTTCGAGATGGGCAATTATGCTACCAGTCACATCACCGCATTGGCGGCCCAACACACCCATGGCACCCGAGGTGAAGAAGAGGGCAAGCGAATGTACCTGGACACTACTGGCTTACATAGACCGGTAGGCACCGGCGGAAGTCCCAAGGGCCACGGGGAGGTTTCGGCCATGCAGAGCCTCATCAAGTACAGCGGCAACTTCTCCAGCGAGTCTGGTTCCAGGCACGGATCTGATAGCCGTTGTCCGTTTGGAGGACTGGGCAGCATGAAACTGGAGGCTGGTTATCCCGGAGTGTCCAGAGTTCAGCACCTTCCGCCCCAGCAGTCAGGAAAGCAGTTGAAGAAGGAACCCGAGAGACCTGAGAGCGCTATATCCTTTGGCAGAGAAGGAAGCTCTTCTCAGGGGGAAGCCGAGGTTCGTCATCCACCGGTAGGCATTGCGGTGGCTGTTGCCCGCCAGAGGAACAACAGCAGCAAGCCCAGCTCGGTATCGGACAGGGACAGGCCGATTCTTGGAGGAGCCATCAAAGGTGTGTTGCTTCTTATCTTTAAATGCATTATTCTTAAAGAGATGGTTCACCCAAAAATGAACATTCCGTAATCTGTTACTCATCCTCATGTTGTTCCAAGGCTATTTTCTTCTGTGCTGGCAAAATAAGTTGGAATGGGCTAATTTTGAGCTAAAGGCAAAAAAGAAAAAAAAATGTAGATTTTAGTTGAATTTGAGGTTTTCAACAAAATGAGTTCATTAAGCCCTCGCCTAGTGGTCCCAATGCTCCATATAGTAATTAAACATCTAAAATGGTATTTAGTTGTATGTTTTCTGAGAGGAGTACCTTTTATAAAAAGGTATACCTTTTATAAAAATAGCTATGTTGTGATTATTAATACAGTAATTATTAATAAGAAAAGAACTGGACGAAAAGATACAACGTTGCTAGGTGATTTTGCTTTCGAACCTTCAGAAAACTAAATTTTTCTCAAAATTAGCTTCGCTGCCTCGACTTCAAACGAAGTCAGTCATTTTTCGTCTGATTCCAACAAATCATTTTGAACGTTTTTGAAAATTTGCTCATTGTGACTCATTTTGCCAGCACTGGTCACTTATTCTGAAAAAAAATGCCTATTTTATGTTGTTTTGGACCCCATTGACTTTTATCGTATGTAGTTCAAGTTCAAGTCTGCTTTATTGTCAATTCTTCCACGTGTACAGCACATACACACAGAATTGAAATTGCGTTAAAGGCAGCGTTCCGCGTCTTCAGGAGTCCGTAGACCTCCCCTGTTAGCCACGGCTTCTGGTTGGCCCGGACAGTGATGGTCTTTGTGACTGTTACATCATCAATACACTTGGTGATGTAGGCAGTGACAGTTCTTTTGTGGTCAGCAGAAAAAAGCAGCACAACTAACCCTTTGAGGTGGCAAAAAGTGTACATTTCTGGTCTCTGTTGTTACATGCTTTCACGCCTTTAACGAAACTGAAGAACATCACAATGACCCAATCTTATTTTCCGTGGTTACAGCCCATTTACGTGGGCATGCTCGACAGCAAGGTCGCTCCCTCTTTCGTTTCATTTCTTAAACAGCATGAGCTTTGCTATTGCTTTGGCCCACAGCGTTTCCTGTTAGCATAGGGAGCGTGTTAAACCTTTCACTAAGACACCGCATGCTTATAAAGCATAATTTACAGAGCTCTACTAAAGGTGGCAAACAAACAGTGCATTCTAATATGACTTTAGGTTTGTTGCTTAGCAATCGAATCTGCTTCGGTAAGGGACAGAAAAGGGTGGGGAGAAAGGCATTAATTTATGTCCTGTTATGTGCAAGGAAATTGCAGTAATAACATTAGTCCCTTCACTCTGAGAGAAGGTTTGAATTTACATTTAAAGCAAGTGTTGGGGACAGAGCTTTGCTTGACTAATTTGCCCTCTTTTTGATGCAAACGGATAGCATGTCGGACAGGCTTTTGGTAACCTTGGAAACAGACTGAAACCTTTTCCCTGGAGCATGACAGAGATCTGTGTGCACTTTCGTCCCCCTCCTCGGTTTAGAAGAACACAATCTCTTCTCAGCTGCTGTCTGTCAGTACTGAAAGGTTCAATACACTCCTAACTAAATCCCGCTCAGATACTTTCTGCACGTTTATCTTTTGCTAGAGGACTCTGTAGTTGTGGTATTTTGAACACAGACTTCAAAGACTCTTTTAGTTTAGTTTGAATTCTGAAATGCTGCTTGTTTTGTCTGCTGATTCTCCAAATGGCTGTCTCTATGAAGAGCAATTTGAGCCGTATATGACACTACAGTGGTGTTGAAACATTGATAATTGATTGATGGGCCTCAGTGGGTTTTTGTAAATGTGATATGTTACTCTGCATAGGTTCTCCGTGGGTTTTTTCCTGTCTGTAATCTCATAGATGTGTAAGACACTGCTTATGACTGGTGCTGAGTGTCCGGACTGATAAACACCTTTAGAGTTTGGGCTATTTCTGGTGCGGTGTATTTATAAAGAGAAAACAGTAACATTTAAGTCTTGCCAGACTGGCAGACACTGGTAAGCTAAGTTTGTAAGCTAAGAATGGTAATAAATGTGTGTATTGGTATCAAACATGTCTTAAATGATGAAAAATGAGATATCATTGGCAAACACTACGAAGTTAGAGGTCCCACTTCATATTATGATGCCTTAATTACTATGTACTTAAAAAAATTTACTTATTGTGTTCATATTGTATTGCAAAAGACTTTTGCTGCTAGTGAGGTGGGATAGGGGTAAGGTTAGGGACAGGTTTGGTGGTATGGGTAAGTTTAAGAGTGGGTTTAGGTGTAAGGGAAGGGTCAACAGTGTAATTATAAATGTAATTATAGACGGTAATTAAAGATGTAATTACATGCAGGTAATTTTTTAAGTACAATGTAAAAACATGCATGTACACAATAACTGCATTGTATCAAATGATTAATTTAAATGTAAGTACATGGTAGTTAAGGCCACCTAATATAAAGTGGGCTCAAAGCTAATTTGGTTAAAATATTTTGGATCGGATGTCAATGTCTTCAATTGGTGTAATGTCCTGTAGGCCCAATCCACACAGAGGAAGAGCGAGGAGACGAGAGGACACGTCATGGGCACGAGCGCCTGCTGTCAGGACGTGTGGCGCGTGAGCAGGAGAAAGTGTTAAGGTAAGATGAGAGTTTATAAGTGCTGGCGAAAAGCGCCTTGAGCACTTTGAGTGCATGTTGAAGCAAGCTCTCAGAAATGTACTGGGCATTGGTCTAGCTGCTAATTCAAACCTGCGTTTGGAGTTTTAGTTGTTCAGCAGATCTGGAAAAATGCTGGAACCTTCCTTTTTATATTTATGTAAACGTCTCGGTTTTAGTTCACAAGTCATTTCTTAGGATAACTTTTCAAACTCTTACGTTTGAGTTTTATAAAGGTTTATGTTTCACTGGCTGTAAATTTTAACTGTGTGGTGACAGCTGTTGATGTTGCTTTAAACAAGACTGAAGGCTGAAATCACATTGACGTTGGTCATTTTTGTGGTAAGCCGTTTTTATTTTACATAGTGCATCACCTAAAGCTTATAGCATGATTGGCCATTTCCTAAGTAAATGCATCATGGCTCACTGCAAATGCAGTTCTTCAGTGGCATTGGTTGTGTCCACATTGTTAGCTGTCAAGACCACTGCCATATTGTCCAACACAAGATAAACAAAAATGAGTGAGGGCACCTTTTAGAGTCTTAGCATTAAAATATGGGTATTTTCCACAACTTTCACTTTCTAATGCCAAATGGTATATTACCCTGTGTCATTTTTTTGTTATACAAAGTCAAACGTGTCAACTGTTTTGGTTCAGAGGTTTGACTGAAAATGGAACTGGACATTTTTACAGTTTTCTCCAAAAAGAGAGCTAGTGATTGATTTTATTTTTTGAGCCCTGATGTTGTGTGGAAGCTGGTGATATGGGCAGCTAATGCATAGATGTCCTGTGAAGGTGACTTATTAATGTCACTTTAGTAAAAATCAGTGACAGCTTTAAATTGTTTGATCTTTAAAGATTCTCGCTCTGCTGCCTTGGTCGAAGCTAGTTTATAATCCCAGCAGATATTTAGCAGCAATACTGAAGTGCTGATGTGTGCCAAATAGATGTTTTTTAAAAAGATTTTAGAAGCCTTGATGAAAGTCTGTTAATTAAAAGCACCCTTTTATTAAAATAATTCACCTTGTAGTAAGGATTAAGCATATCCAGCCAGTGTGAATAGATTCTTGTTTCTTTGATTCCACACACTAGCTAAATGGTGCAACATTTTACTTTCATTGGTCACACTCTCAGTGTGGCTTTCTTTAGAGTGGACGGATTTATGGCAACAGTTCTCTGCAAATATGAGCCTATTTTCAAAGTGTGGCTCTCATTTCGTGGAGCAGAAAAAGTCAGTCTTCCCCACTGGGGAAATTGGTGCTTATAAAAGCGACTGGCTCTCTCAGCAGGATTCCGCCCTCAGTGTCTGTCCTTAAGTGTAAGGCAGAATAGAAGTCATGGACTGGGGAATTTGTGTCTCAGTCAGGGCTAAATGGCCACCAGTCTTCCTGTTGGGCTTGAATAAGCATAAATTTTGCAATGTAAAATTATCCTTGACATTTTACTGGTTGTCAAATGTGGATGCCTGGATATTGGGCACTTAATGGAATAGTTCAGCCAAAAATGGTAACGATTTACTTGCCCTCATGTTGTTCCATTCCTGTGCGATGTATTTCTTCAATCAAACACAAAAGGTGAATTTTTGAGGAATTTTCTTGAGAAAATCAACAGCAGTACAGAGTATGAAAAGACAACCACTCAGATCATTAGGATCAAGTCAGTTAGAAATACCAAGGGTTCACACAAAACAAGGGGAGTCTGCTTTTAGTTATTATGCCGCCCGCAGTTGGGATCAGCTTCCAGAAGAGATCAGATGTGCTAAAACATTAGCGACATTTAAATGCAGACTCAAAACTCATCTGTTTAGCTGTGCATTTATTGAATGAGCACTGTGCGATGTCCGAACTGATTGCACTATATGTATAATCGTTTTCTTAAATTCATTTTAAACCTCTTAAATCAATTTTTTTAATCATTTTCAACGTTTTTAAATTCCTTGTTTTATTGTTGTGATTATTTTTTTCTTTTCTTTTATGTAAAGCACTTTGAATTACCATTGTGTATGAAATGTGCTATATAAATAAACTTGCCTTGCCTTGCCTTGACAGCTATAGTGAAAGTGGCTGTTGAGATTCAAAGGATAAGAAAAACACCTTAAAAGGACCTTTTTAGTTTGTTTCACTTTGACTTTTGACTTTGACTTTCACAAAAAGTCGATGAAGATTTTGAAAGAATACGAAAATAATTACATAATTATTGAAATGGGAAAGAACTGCTCTTTTAAGGAATTAAGCTTTATGGGTTTTTTTAGGGTTAGTTCAGCAAAAATAGCTTTAAAATGGGTTGAAAATATGTAGTGAAGCACCAAACTGAACATTCTTGACCAAAAACAGAAAATTTGGACACTTGGCCAGAAACTTAGTTATTTTATAAAATTTGTAGTCTTTATTGGGAATAATAAACAAATTCTTAAAAAATATATATTAAAAACTAACTAAATAAAGTGATTTTAAAATTAAGTTTGTTGGGAATAATACATTCTTAAAAAAAAAATATAATTAATTATTTAATTAATTGAGTACTCTTTTCTTCATTCAGATAGCATTACTACCAAGACATCAGGGCTCTAACATCTTTTCTTCTTCCTTTTAAATGTTGAAAAATATTAAAAATAAGTAAATTAGAAAACTGCCTTTTGGCTAATATAAGCATATACTTTTTTACCCTAAAAGTAGGATATATTAGAATATATTAAAGGATATTTTTGCACCACAGGTGCATGTTTTTGCTGCCATGTTTCTTTTAAAGGTAATGTGGCAGTTTTTTTAACATATATATATATATATATATATATATATATACTACAGAAGCTTTTGTTGGAATGTAGACTTTAATGTGCAAACGCAAATACTAACTGACTTTGCTATAGATTGGTCAACCGCTAATAAGTAAATCTCTTGTCATTCACAGAGAGAATAAAGAGTTGGCAGACTACACCCAGTTGCATCCACCTATGGTGCCAGCTAGCGGGCTGAACCCCAACCTGATGGTGACTGGTGGACCGACTCTGGCTGGTGCGGGCCGCTGGCCTGCTGACCCCGCCTCCCACCTGGCCTCCCACCCGTGGCTGCCCCGGCCAGGAGCCCCCTCCATGTGGCTGTCTAGTTCTCCATATGGTACCCACCTTTACTTCGTTTATGCCTGTTGTATAAGAATTATGTCATGTTACAACAAGCAATTGCCTTTCATTTATTCCTATTTTAATGAGTAATAAATGATTACGGGTCATGGACTTTGGAATGCTGCAGAACTGTTTTGTGAATGGGATTTGGACGCGGAGTTATTTCCTCGAGGCAATCTGTTGCCCTGCCAGACGGCCCGAGCGTTTTGTCTAGGCTGAGTGGTTTAGACATTCTTAGAAACAATCAGTCTAACTCCACAACTTCCATCCAAGAATAACAGCGAACAGCACGGTCAGTTCACAGTTGTCTGACGTTTGAGTTTCTGTCTAGACTTTACTTTAAAAACAAAAATGTCCCCCAAGTAAATTGCTGTAGTTAAAGTGCTGTGCCTCTTGGCAGGATTTCAACGAGGCCCGTGCTCCATACACAAGGGTGTGGAAAGGTGTTTCTCTTGGGAATTAACTCTTGAGTGTTCATGAAGCTGCCAGAAAGCAAGTGCAAATGGACCATCAACTACAAGTACGGTGAACCCAACCATTTTCCCCTCTGTTGTGTACAGGTCTGGGTCCCCCTTCCCTTCATCAGGCGCTGCCTCCAGGATATTCTCCTGCCTTGACAGGCTCCATCCCCCCACCTTACCAGTTTGCCCGAGATCCACAAACTGGGCAGGTGGTTGTTATTCCGACAGAGCATCTGCCACACTATGGTAGGTCCCATGTATTCTTCACAGTTTCTGTGTTTATATTTTCCCATGTTTCCATTCTCACACACACATAAACATGCATTTCTAAAGAAGAGTGGGAGTAATATCCCTGACATGTAGCAGAATAAATCTACTTGATGTGTGATGCTCAAGTATTCCTCCTGTTCTTTTAAAAGCTGAGATGTTAGAGCGAGGCCCCCCGCTGTGGTCGGCCATGTACCCGCCAGCAGGAAGCACTCTGCAGCATGCCCATCAGCTCCAGCTCCTCTCCCACCAGCAGGTCCTGCGCCAACAGGAGCTCTACATGATCCAGCACCAGACCGCACAGGTCATGGAGCTGCAGAGGAATGCACACTTAGTGGTATGAGGCTCTTTGTCTGTCAATATCATTATAATCGTTGGGAGGCATGCCTGTATTTCCCATTTTGTAGTCCTTAAAGGATAAGTCCACTTCCAAAATAAAAATTCTCTGATAATTTACTCACCCCCATTTTATCCAGGATGTTCATGTCTTTCTTTCTTCACTCGCAAAGAAATTGCGTTTTTTTGAGGAAAACATTCCAGGACTTTTTTCCATGTAGTGGACTTCAGTGGTGGCCAACGATTTCAAGGTCAAAAATGCAGTTTCAATGCAGCTTCAGAGGATTCTACACGATCCCAGCCGAGGAATAAGGGCCTTATCTAGCGAAATTATCTGTCATTTTCTGAAAGAAATGTATATTTATACACTTTTTAAACACAAATGCTCGACCTGCTATAGCTCCGCGATGCGCATGCGTGTCTTCACACATTACGTAATCATGTTGGAAAGGTCGTACACAGTTAGTTCTTCGTCTTTTTATACTTCATTTAAAAACTCTATCTCATTTTCTTCTTCAACTTTAAAATCATCCGACATCGTTGTTTTACCTTGTTTGTAAAGGGCATTTGACTTTTTTTGCATGTTCGCTTTGTAAACTCTGGGTCGTATATAAATATAATTTAAGAAAATGACAGATCGTTTCGCTAGATAAGGCCCTTATTTCTAGGCTGGGATCGTGTAGAGCCCTTTGAAGCTGCATTGAAACTGCAATTTTGACCTTGAAATCGTTGGCCACCATTGAAGTCCATTGTAATGTTTTCCTCAAAAAACTTAATTTCTTTGCAAATGAAGAAAGAAAGACATGAACATCTTGGATGACATGAGGGTGAGTAAATTATCAGGACATTTTTGTTCTGGAAGTGGACTTATCCTTTAAGGTCTATTTGCACCAACTCAGGATGTTCAACATGAAAAACAGGCATAAAAGCCAAATGCATATATCAACTTTTAGTATCAAGTCCAAAATATTGTACTGTGGTATTTATTTTTTGTGTAAATAAATTTAGGTTTCAGGTTTTTTTTTTTTTTTTTTTATAAATTTGCATGCATTTTATACTTTTTGAACATTATGTATTTTATAAAAATATATTATTTTGACATTTTTGAATAGGCTTGTAATTAAGTATTAAAAAAAGTTTTGATTTGTTTTTACGTTGATGCAGGAGAGATTAAATGCAAGTCAAACGAGGACAGATTTGGAGGAAAAGCCAGACAAGAGAGGAGCTGAAGGGGCCAAATCCAGTCTCTCGGGCATCCCCACTCCAGCCCTGCACTCACGCAAGCCTCCCCCACGCTCCCCGACCCCCTCCACCTCGTACAGAAAAGCCCTGACACCGCTGCCCGTCCCACCGCTGCCTTCACCTGTCACTGCACTGAAGTCTGCGGACAGACCCAAAGTGGAGAAGTCCCTCCCTCAACAGCCCTACTCCCATCCGTCATCTCCTGTCCCTCACTCAGTCAGCCCCGGTTCAGCATCGCCCTCTTCTGCCTCCCCCATCCAGACCAAAGAGGAGTCTGTGGAAGTGCCTGAGAAAGAGCCACTCAGTCTACAGAAGCAACCTTCTGCTCCCTTCCCATCCATTTACCATGGTAAGTGAGAAGATCAGCATTCCCAAATTAAATGTCCAGGTTTGAGTCTGCTTAATTTGTCACAGTCGCCTCAACTGTAGATTGGCATGGTCTTATGAAATAATTGTTTATTTGCATATTGCACAGTAAATGAGAGGGACACTAATCAAAAACCGAAAGGAAAGCTGTTTAATAATGCACGGTCATTAATCACCGTAGTGCTGTTTTTAAGGAAATATGTTTGGGAGGGGACCAAGAATCCACACAGGACTGCAATCAAATGCAGTGTGCTATTCTTCATGTCAGAATGTGCAGGGTTGTGCAGTCTTAATGAGTATCCTGCAAATATCCCCACATATGGGATTACCAGCTGCCACTTCACTGCAATAGAGACTTCTTATGACAGCAGCCCTTTTGTACCCGTATCCCCTGGCGGTTTCCCTTTAAAAATGTTCAATGCTCAGAATAAATAGATTTTCTGCTCACAGTACGTTCTGAATGTATGAGTATTCACGAACGTGTTGGCCTATGTGTATATAAGGGCTTTTGGGATGCTTGTGCTGAAGCCATTTGGTTCTTGAGAGTTTCGTAAAGCCCCTGTGCCGAAGAACATGTGGGGTTATTAATCACTTTGTCACTCTGTCGCAGGGAACTAAAGCCCCTCTACTCTTTGCATAAGCGCCTCAAAAACCTGTCTCTTCTGTTTCTTTGGCAGAAATTCCTCCCGGCTACCCGTACCAATCGATAACGGCACCTTTCGGCAGCCATTACCCCTACCTCCTCCAGCCGGCTGCTGCCGCAGATGCTGACGGCCTGGCGCCAGATGTACCGTTGCCGGCTGAGACCTCCGAACACTTGGCGACCGCCGCAGATGTCAAACCCCAGCACTTGTGTTCTCCAGTGGTTGTGGAGCCACTTCAGGCATCCAGAGAGCCAGAGTCCATGGAGGAGGGCGGCGCAGTGTTCAAAAAAGAGCCAAACCTGGAAGACAGCAAAGACGTCCTGAGCCAGGACAGCCTGAGACTTGCACCCATCGCCACCCAAGACTCTAGCTCCCCCACAGAGGCCGAAGCCCACCCTAGTGACAAAGCCACACCATCGCCAGAGGAGGAATCAGATGAGGAAGATAGGGAGGCTGTCAAAATCGAAGCTGCCGCCTCCAGCCATCCAAGACTGTACAAAACATCTATGCTGGACTCTGAGAGAACCACAAGAGCAGAAACCGCAGAGGCCTCGATTGGTCTGGTAGACCAAGTCTACAAATCCTCATCTAGTTACACGGACGCACACCATGTGGTTTGTGACATCCAACCAGCAAAACCGCCCTTAGATCTCTCCGATAGCCTGAACCCAGTAGACCTCAGAGATCCTGTCCCGGACACTCCACACCTGGAGTCCAAACTTGACAATCCTTTCCTGCCTAACAGCAGCCCTCCTCACCTTCAGCCCTCTTCCGCACTGGTGGCCATCCTGCCTGAAGACCCCATGGCAGGCATGTTTGCCCTGGTCACAGCCAGCGAGCTTCCGCAGGCTGGAGCGGTGTCCGTCCTGGCAGATGCGTGTAGCTCTAGATCTGAGCTCTGCATGGGCGTCAGTCCCCTAGAGTCCACTGCTCTGGAAGGCATGGCCCTGCTCAGCCAGATGGCAGAGCTGGAGATGCAGAGGCAACCCAGAGATGACACACAGGGTGAGTCTCGTTTCAGAGAGAGGAAGGGAAATCTGAAGGATGTGGGACTTGATCTAGCGTGCTCCAACAGTTCTCAGGGAAGCGTGGTGATTGGGGAGAGAGATTTGCTTGCTGTAATGTGCTGAAACAAGCTCAGGAATTGTTTCAGCTCTAGTGAATATATTCAGAATTTGCTGGAGTGTTGAACAGTGTGCTTGTGCTGCTTGTTCTTCAAGCAGCTTTTAGAGTAAAAACTTGCGTTTAAGGAATAAGTAAATGCAACTGTCTGGTCTTTTGGATGTATCTGGATGTCAACTCCATTAATGCAGTCTAACACAAGAAACACCCATATATACTGATGTATTGGAGAATGCAGGGCTGCCCCGTGCTCCCTAGAGGTAATTAATGTTGCTATCGATCGTGTGTTTGTGTGTGCAGCTGTAATGCTCTGTGGACTGGAGAGTCTGCTGGAAGTTGGCAGACAGGTCCTCCTGGAGGCCATTGAGTGTCAACCTCAGGTTATCATCCGCCTCCCCCGAGAGCTCAACCCTAATAAGAAATACAGCTGGAGACAGAAGAAAGATGAACCTGTATGCTTGCCTTTTTTATTACTCTTTTTATTTTCTTCTCCCTCTTATAAACCTCTGCGTAAGAGGGCTTTTTTTGCTCTCAGAATGGTGATTCTAAAAGCTTTGTCAATAAAATACAAGCAATGTTAAAATTTTTAAATTTGTCATGTTTACAAATTCCAGTAGCATTTGAATTGCTTACTTTTTAACAATGTTTACAAATGGTGGCATTTGAATTTTTGTACATTTGAGCAGTGTTTACAAATTCCAGTGGCATTTACATTGTTTTAACTGTGTTTACATCTAGTGGTGTTTGATGTTTTAACTTCTAAGCAGTGCTTACCATTTCCAGTGGCATTTAAATGTTTACGTTTTGACAGGTTACAGCTAGTGGTATTTAATGTTTTAACATTTAAGCGGTGTTTATAAATTTTTTTTTTTTTTGTACGTTTTAACTGCGTTTTCAGTTAGAGGCATTTGTAGTTTTTACATTTAAATGCAGTTAAAATGCAAAATCCAACGCCATTTTAATTTTTACATTTAGCAGTGTTTACTTTTTTTCAGACATTTGGCATAGCTAATAATACTTTTGTTGCTGCTTAGAGTACTGGCTATGGAAGTCCAACCACAGACGGTAATCTTGTTTTCCTCTCTTAGATGTTCTCCAAATCCTCTTTGGAGGGAATGGACACCGTAGAAGTGGACTACCGTGTGAGACTCGCTGAGCTTCAGCAACATTACAAAGAAAAGCAAAGAGAGCTGGTCAAACTGCAGAGGCGGAGAGACAACGAG